TCTTTCCCTTTGCCCTCACTCAGGGCTGTGATCTGAATCGGGATGACGTACCTTCCTCCCTCCTTAACACGCACACCATCCATCTCTCGTAGTAGCACTGAGATAGATGTTCTGCTGCTGACTGGGTGCTATGGCCAGGGTCAGAGCTCAGTCTAGAGTCCCAGCTCAGCCCTCAGTTTGAGGCTGTCAGCCCTTGGCAGAAAGGCCAAATCAACAGTACCACAGCTCCCCGCTATCTGTGTACCCCTATTCCTTTGTCTGGTCTCTTACCACCTCTCTCCCACATTTCCTTACCTCCCTCTTTCTGTTCTTCCCCTCTGGCTCTGGTCCTCTAGCCCAGCGCAGGTCCTGGGGAAAGCTGCTCTGGGGCTGGTTCTGTGGGCTCTCTGGGGCCCCAGAGCAGGCCCTGAGCCCAGCAGAGAAGTCAGCGCTAGAGCAGAAGCTGACCAGCATCGAGGAGGAACCGCTTTGGAGCAGTGTCTGCAACATCAACGCCATCATCTTGCTGGCCATCAACGTCTTCCTCTGGGGCTATTTTGCGTGACTCTGCAGATCTGGCTTCAGTCAACCAGCCACAGAGACAAGCTCTCCTCCCACCTGCTGTCCAAACTGGAGGCCACAGAGGCTGAGCCTGAAAGAGCTCCGGAAGCCCCTGCAGAGTATCAAACCCAACCTGCACCATGGACAAGTGGATTACGGGATCTCAGAGAGAGCATTGGGCTTGCTCAAGGGCACACAGCAAGACACACTAGGTCTCTCATTTCCACCTTTTTCTAGTACATTGCCTTACACTCCTACCTCAAAAACACTGTCTCTACCCTCTTATTGAGCCTATTCAAGAACTTAAAAACAAACAAACAAAAACAATAACAACAACTTTTGCTAGGAGGCACAGGATCTCACCAGAGACAGACAGAGAGAGAGAGAGAGAGGAAAGTGAGGAAGCACCTGCCCATTGGGGGATGATCACACTGCAATCCCTTCTCCATTTCTCCCTCCTATTGAGGTTTCGGTCACACACTTGTGCCTGTTATGTTTTTAAGTCACCTGCTCTAAGACTTGAAAACGTGCAGTCAGACATGTATGATCCAGCTGCCCTAACTACCACACCACAGGCTGGCGCTATTCAGGAACTTTACTGGATGTATACCTTGAGATTAGAAAAGTGGAAGAGACAAGAAGAGGCAGAATTCCAGTGTACCTTTGTTCCCCGTGTTTCCTTCCCCTCCCCCAGAGCCCCATCCCTCTTTATCCCACAATGTCCCTAGTAATCTATTTGTAGTGTGAAGCTACTCAGGAGGACCTTATGTTTCTACTGGTGACCCCACAGTGGGGACTACCAGACCCAAGGAACGAGAAGCCCAGGGCAGAATTTAAGCATGATGTCAGATAGTATTTGAATAGAGAGTTCTTGGACAAGGACAAGGGACTCTCCTACACATGCTGCCTCTTCCTGCTCTCAAACCCAAGTGTGAGCAAGGTCTCCATGGCCTTGAGGAACTGAAGACTCTGGCTGAGGAGGAGACACGATGTCAAAAACAAGAGAGACATGCTGCTCTGTACTTAAGGGTAAGCCCTGCAGGGGGCAGCATGGATAATCTTGGAGCCACTGCACCTGGCCTTTGCCCCTCCCCTGTGGCTACCAAACCTGGGCCTACGCTGGAATACACCATGACCCCGTCTAAGTGTCTCTATCTCAGGAAGCTGCCCTAATGCCGCAGACTGGATCAAGGTCCCACTCCTGCTCCCCTAACCCCTGGACCCAATTGTGTCAGCACTAATCACAGCTTACTGTAATGTCCTCCGCCCAAGTGGAATACTCCAAGGGACAGGGTCAAAGGCCATGTCTCAGGTGACTTTGTACTCAGAAAATTACAGGTGTGCATAAATGTTTATTGAATTAATAAATTCTCCAATGTCTGCTGGCTATGCTGTGTGGCTGACTGGGTAGTGATATGAGGTGTCAATGGGGGTGGTGGGGGATGTGGGAGGAGTCTCCTCAAGTCAGAGTTTAAAGGACTGAGTCTCAGGTATACAGAAAGAGCCCACAGCCCCAGCCCTCTGAGGATGACCCAAGGTGAGAATGTCCCTCCTCTTAGCTCCCTGCGGAGGCTGCCCCTCCTCTCATCAGATCCCCTTTAACGCTGCCTTTGATCTTTATTATACACTAATCACCTGTTGACTGTACTCTTAAACCAAAAAAAAAAAAAAAAAGAAAAAGCCAATAGCTCCACAATGAAAGATGCTTTTTTAAGTTAATATCAAAGGGTAACTTACTTACCAATGGGAGTTGGATCAGCAGCGGAAGTAGGATCTCACCTGTGCGCAGCTGCAGGTCCCACTTCACCCCCTCCCCCAGGGAGCTGGAACTTTCTACAGGAGCTCAAGCAGAGACAAATTTGGGAGGAAGCAGTGACTGCTCTGGGATTAAAGACCAAAGCTCATTAGCCTCTCTAAGGCTGAGGCCTGTGGCTGGAGTTGTTATCTGAGTAGAGGTTCCGAATGGCTGCCCCAGGTAAGAGTATAACTGCAGCAGAAACTCCTGCTCAGGGCAGTACTGATGACTTTAGGATGGGCGAAGAGTAGAGGGACATGCCAAGGGTGAATTTGGTTCATTCATACAATCAAATACTAATAAACTCCTATTGTATTTCTTTGAAGTGTAGATGTAGCTGGTTCTAAAAATACCTCTTCTGCTGCTGCCTCCAATTTATTTTTCCACTGACTTTTTCTTCCTTAATGGGAGGAGCATACAGAGGGGCAGCCTTTTGACAGGATTTTGCCATGACACAGTCTTCCTGCCCCAGCCCCCTAATTAGCTAGAATTGCAGGCTTATACCACTGTACCTCTACTGTTCAGGCTGGTTTGGGAACCAAACCCAGGCCTCCCATGTGGCTCCAGCCTTGGGCCTGGGTGCCCTACTACTTATAGGACGTGGCTGTTGCCACTGTCCTGTCTCCACTGACCTTCAGATCTCACTGTCTCTCACCTCAGGTAGCCCTGCTCTCTCTGTGGTTCCCCACTCACTGAGAACAGCTTCTCCCTTTGATTTTCCCAGAACCTTCATGCAAGTCATTGGTGTGTGACAGGTGTAGAGAGGGAAAGAATTTTAAACCACGGAACCACAGTCTAAAATTGCATTTTAAATATCCAATTTTTAACAGTTCCTCAGTTGCCTGTCCTGAGGATTTCTCAGGTCTCCTCCTCAGTCTCCAACCTCCTGCCATGGCTCTTAGTCCCTACCTCCCTGCAGATTCTCTCAGGTCTCCCTGTTCCTCCATTTTGACCTCCTCCCCAGTTTCTCTCTTCTCGGTTATGCTGAGCCTCTACTGGGTTCCAGATCTATCTTGTCTGATCCAAAGATTCAATCACTGTTGGATAGAGCACTGCTGGGAGGGTAGCCATGCCCCTTCCCTACTCTCCTTGGCTGTTTTCTCCTACTTGATCCTCACATATCAGCTCAACTGTCACATCCTAAGGGAAGCCATATTGTCTGTGTCAGGATCGCAGCAGGGCCACTCACATCCCAGAGCAGATAAGCACCCAACAACCATTGTCCAGCCTCATGGTTTCCTGACTCTACTCTTAAAGTGTGTCAGGCTGTAAACTGCTACATTTATATAACTACTTCACTAATGTGTATTTCTTCCCCTAGACTGTGAGCTCTCCATTGACTCTCTATCACCTAGAAAGGTACCTGGTACACCCCTGGTACTAATGAACAGGTATCATGGGCCCAGTCATGGTGGCACACAGCATCACTGCTTGGAAGGCTGGAGGCTACAGAGGCTCAGGAGGCTGGAGTCTACAGAGGGCCATAGGTGACAGCCAGTGCTCAGGCTCCTTTCAGCTCCCACGTGCCCCCATGGCCAGGTGCATTGCCACGGAGCACTGCCTGCACATCCTGCTTGTTGGGTTGTTGGGGAGAAGTTGCAGTGAGTGGGAGGAGAGCAGGTTGGTTCAGAGAGGAGGCTGCATGCTGAGTATCATCCCCTACCTGGACCATTTCAACAGCCCTTTGATTCTTATCTTTGTTCCAGTCTCTCTTCTTCCAATTCATCCCATGTGCTATAGCAAGACTGACCTTTCTAAAATAAAAGTCTTCTGTCTTACCTGTTTATGAGTCTTTACTGGTTTTGTTTTCTAGCTCGGCATGAGGCGCTACAAAAACTGCTAGAAATATGCCAAGCGTTTAGTGCTTGGGCCCCTTCTCACACTGGCCAGAGAAACTGTTCTAGGGAGTGGGTAAGAGGAGGGGCTTGGAAGAATGACCTTCTAGAACCAAACCCAGCCTCTGCCATTTGCTAACTAGATGATATTGGAAGGTTACTTAACTTGTCTGTCCCAGTTTTCTCACCCACAAAATGGAGATAATTGCAACCCTACTTCATAGGGTTGTTGAGAAGATTAAATGAGTTAATTCAAATAAAGTGCTTCAAACAGTGCCTGGCATATAACTAAAGTACTTAATAAACATTAGCTCTGATTGCTACTATTAGTAGCAGGTGAGATGAACACAGGAGGAGGCGGACAAGACATAGTGATGCTATTTCAGAGTTAGCACAACTCTGACATGCTGTCAGAGCAAGGAGCAGGAGACAATTCATTCTACCGAAGGAATCAGGAAAAGGTGTAACAGAAAGTGAATATTAGGGCTATACTCTAAAGGCTGAATGGACATTTTCTAGGTGAAGTCACACAAGGTAGAAGGACCTGTTAAGGTACCTTAATAGTATCCCATTAAATAGGGATACTATTTATTTGTTTGCAAATGTCAATCCTATGTATTTAATTGCTCTTATAAATCTGGATTACAGTCTATTGCCACTAAGGCAGAATTGTGCAAATTACTGACCATGGACAGGGACAGAAGAGGGTGGGCATTGGATGCTTGGAGGAGTGGTTGCTAGTGTCCCACCCATACCTCCTAGGTGCTCAACAGTCCGATTTGCTGTGCCCCCCTTTTTTTATTTCCCAGAGAGAGAGATTTTTGCTATAGGGTGTGTGTGCTTGCCAAAGACACAGAAAGAGACAGAAAGCAAGAAATCACCCCCATGGGGGGGATGGCCACATCACAATCCCTTCTCCTCCAATGTCCTCTCAGGAATTTAGGCACATATGCACAAGTGCCCAGTGTAAGCCACCGGGCCTGGGTCCAAGATCCAAACCATGGTTGACTACGAGTCCAGTAACATAATCATTATGACATCCACTGGTCCCCTTGTTTGCTGTGCCGTCTGCTGAAAGCCACTGCAGCTCTCTGGATGCCCAGCCCCCTGCATAGACCAGGCTAGGTGTGCTGGGAGTTACTGGCACTTGGGAGTAGTCCTGAACTAATATGAACAAGAACTGGTGGATGAAGCACGGTTAGCTCCTTGACCTTCATATACCTGTATAGCTCCCTTCCCTTCCTTGTCTCTTTTTCACTCTCTTGCTGGTGTTTCCTGGGACCTCCTCCTAAATAAACTACTGGCTCCTGGCCTCATGTGCTGCTTCTGGAAACCAAACTAAGATCAGTTTTTTGTTTTGTTTTGTTTTGTTTTAAGCAAAATTTAGGCTTTGATATCAGGTTTTGTACATGGAGCCAAGGACAAAGCCTGGAAGATTTAGAGCATAGAGTCTCCCCCCAAAAAGAGATACTCTCCTATCTACCATCAAGGCTTAGCTCTACTGAGCCACGTGAAGGGGTGTTAGGTGGGAGGGTTCAAGGCAGCACAAGAAAGGTCACCTCCATCCTGGGGTTTTACAATCTAGATTTCTCTCATTTTGTCCTGAATATTACAAATAGTCTGTTATGGGTCAGGCTTTATTCTGGGAACTGGGCATACCATGGTGCCCAAGCTTTGTTGACTTCTCAGATCTCAGACAGATCTGGAGTTCTCTGAGGGCCAGGATGCTTCTCCTTTAACTGCTATGATAGAATAGCAAAGATAATGTGGTAGGAAAGAAAGAGCCCTAAGCTGGGAGTCAGGAGACCTCAGTTCCATTCCCAGAGCCCAGCTCTGGATTCCAAGGAACTCCAAGACCCGCTCATTGGTAGGAGAGACTAGTGGTAAGTGGGGAGAGTGACGGAGGCAAAAAACGAAATGGTGCAGTGCTGCAAGTTCGTGGGTCAGGGTCAGTCCTGGAAGGGACTCAGTGACCAGCAAATCAAATTCCCACATTTCATGGAGTGGGAAACTGGAGTCTTGCTTAAGGTCATACAAAGAGTCAGCAACAATTATGCAGGTCCTCGGGGATGAAGTGTCTCAGAAAGGTGGGAAATCCAGGTATCACTTAGGAAGGGCTGAAGAAGAGCAGGCATTTTTTTTTTTGGGGGGGGAGAGGTTTTCGCTATAGGGCGCATGTGCTCGCCAGACAGACAGAGAGAGACATAGAGACAGAAAGTGAGAAATCACCCCCCAGAGGGGATGGTTACGCCACAATCCCTTCTCCTCCATTCTCCTCTCGGGATCCTGGGCACATACACACACGTGCCCGGCTTGAGTTTTAAGCCACCGAGTCCAGGACGTGAACCGTGGTCGACTACGTGGGAGTCCAGCAACATAGCCATTTCGCTAACTAACTGCTGGTCCCAAGAACAGGCATTGTGAAACTTACGTTCTTCACCAGGCCTCAGACAGGTCTACTGTGGGCACAAAGGTCACATGCACATCTATATCCTCTTGAATGTGTCTGTCAACCTCTCACCATTTGAAGGAACCTCCAGGTTCTCTCTTCCCTCCTTTCCCTATCCCAGGTCATCGTTCATTCTCTCTGCCTGGAACACTCACCTCGACCTCCTGCCCCATACTCCTATCTTCTACTCATCTCAGGAACCATCTCTTCCTAAAAGCTTCCCGATGCCTCCTGCCCATCCAGGTTGCTTTTGTCCTTCCTCTGAACCTCACAGGCCAGGCCCCTGTGCTTTTCTCTATCGT